GGAACCGGTCTGTATGTGGGATCCGAACCCTCGGGTGGGAGCGCCACCGCGCTTCCCAAGCAGCGCACTATCCAGTGTGCCACTGGGCCGGCCCTCCTAGTGCTGTCTGAGTCCAACAACACTCCACTTGGAAATCTATGGCATTCCTACATCAAACTTCCTCTGCTGTCTTTAAAAAACAGCACTGGGCCGAGCCCGTGGCGCACTGGGGAGAGTGCTACGCTGGGAGTGCAGCAGCGCTTCCCACTGCGGGTTTGGATCCTATATAGGGATGACCGGTGCGCTCACAGTGCTCACTGGCTGAGCGCGGTGCGGCCGGTCTCAAAAAAAGGAGAAAAATAAATAAATAAATAAAAAACAGCACTGACCTCTTTCTTTCCGTTAGGCCTTCCTACTATTCCCTATGCTTGGATCGCTATTACCTACCCCTTCATCTAACTCCTTATCTTTCAGATATTCCCTCCTCCAGGAAGCTTTCCCTGTCCTGCCAGGGTCAGGTTCCTCTTCTGGCCCCTCTAGCCCCAGACCTGACCACTCTGGGCTGTCACTAATGAGGGATCTGTTTGTCTCCTCACTGGACTGTGAGCTCCATGAGGGCAGGGCCCGGGCCTGTCTCAGTCACCACAGTGTACCAGCCCCAGGCCAAGCCCACAGCAGGCACTCAGTGTTTGTGGATGAACTCACAGACCACTTTCCTGTGAATTCCACTACCTTGCCTCCCGCCCCTACCCCTCCCAATTCCCCCCTCCCGACCTCCAGGAGCAGGAAGGATACATGTGCCTGGTCAATCATGCACTTGCACAGGGTGAAGTCAGTGTGGGGCAGGTTGGTGAGGGCCTTCAGCAGGATCTGGGCAGTGACCGTGGTCTGAAAGAAGGCTGGGTTGAACTGATACCTGAGAAGGGGAACAAGAGAAATAGCAACAGTGGCACCTCCAGGTCCCCAAGCCTCACCAGGTGCCAGGCAGACTGCCCACTGCTTTAGTCTGGAGCTTGGGAGGTGGACATGCCAGGGCCCCAGACTCAACCACAACACTTTCTGGTTGTGTACCTTTAACCTCTCTGAGCCTACTTTCCTGCTCTGTAGCCAGGGACAGTTAATCCTTGCGACCACCTGATAAGGTAGATGCTGTAAAGTGATTCACGGACAAATGAGCATAGAACCAGCAGTCTGGAGTAATGGTTAAGTCTCTGGAGCCAGACTGCCTAGGTTTAAACTTCCCTGTTGAGTGACAGGAGACTGCTTATTTTAAATTCTCTGCACCTCCCTTGCCTCCTTGCAAAAGAGGACAATAACAAGCACATCTACCCCACAGGGGCAATATAGCAGTGAAGTGAGTTAATACATATAAAGCCTGTAGCACAGAAACTAGCACATGGTGAGAACTCACCAAGCAGTGGCAATCACCAATAACAATCTAAACCACCCCACAAATACAAGTTTTATCTCCATTTTACAGATGTGAAAACCAAGTGTACATAATCTACAAAAATTACATAGCTGGTAGCATGCCAAGAAAGCACACAAGAGGAGAGCTGGCCAGTTAGCTCAGATGGTTAGAGCATGGTGCTGATAATATCAACAAGGGAAGGGATCATTAGGACAGAGTCACACAATCGAACACTATATAGCAATGACGACAAACAAACTGCAACCACGTGAAAAATGCATGGATCTCACAAACCCAGTGCTGAGTGGAAATGCCAGATGCAGAAGAGCTCATGCTGTGTGATTACACTTGCGTCAAGTTCAAAGCAGGCAAACCTGAGCCAAGTTGATGAGGATGCATGCATGTGTAGTATAAAGTCAGGCCGCGAGAGCATGAGAATGGATACCAAGGTGCGGGGGAGAGAGGGTGCCATATGGATGATGACTACGTGGGTCTTCATTTAGGATTAATTTGTAATTAATTTTTAGAAAACCATTCTCTCCCTTCCGCCCCAATTTCCTTGGCTTCCTAGTCTTGCACACCAAGAGAAGTCACATCCTGCAGGCTACCCCCAGCTACCCTACCCCCTTCCCCATGTTGGGAGTGGCACAGACACTCACAGCTTCAGGACAGCTAGGTTGGCTTCCAGATCATAGGCATTCTCCTTGGCCTGTGTCTCCACATAGCGCTCCAGAGTGGCCAGGTTCTCAGGATTGTACCTAGATGAGAATCGAATGGGTGAGCAGAGAGGAGACAGAAACTGAGGTCAGTCACTTTATCGGGCCAAATGGTCACTGTAACCTCCTCCCTCCTTCCTTTCCCTCTAAATCTGGCACTGGCCACTTGCTCTACCCAAGCTGTGAGTCAGTTCTATAACCTCCAATAAAACGTGTCCACATCCAGGAGCTCTCACCTAAGTTCTAAACCCCACTGGAGCCCTGGATCTTGTCTAGGATATTTCCCCAACCTCTCAGCCAATCAGTCACTGCAGCCTGTACACGTGGCCTCCTGAGTTTTCCTTTTCTTTCTTTCTTTTTTTTTTTTTGGGTGGCTGCTGGCTGGTAAAGAAATCAAACCCCGATCCCTGGTGTTATCAGCACCACGAACTAACCTGAGCTAACCGGCCGGCCCATTTGTGGCCTCCTGAACATCTCTTCTTCTCACTCCCTCCCCTCGTAGATCCCCACCTTGGCCCAGTCCCATCTTCTCTGCCTAGGTCCTTGCCTAGTTTCTCCCATTTCAGCCGTGAACATTCTGGCTTTTACTTCTCCCAGCACAGCCCTGACCACTCCCGACTATCAATATCTGTTGTCGGTTTTGTCTCCCTTCTAGAATGGGAACTCAGTCCACGAAGGCATAGCCTGCGGCTGTCTTGGCCACTTCTGATTCCCAGCATTGCCTAGTACTGATCAACAGAGTAGATTTTGGTGAACATGTGTTGAGTGAATGTCACGGGGAGCAGGGAAGGGAGAGAGTAAGGGAGCACTGAGAGACACAGTGAGAGATGAGGAACAGAGAGAAAAACTGAGGGGCAGACAGGAAGACTTGAAGGTGATTAAAGGGGAGACTGAGCGGCAGGCATTCTCTCCTGCCTCTAGGCCTTTGCGGCGCTGTTTCCTTAAACATCTCCTCCACGATGACCTCCCCACATCCAGAACGACGAGAAAAACCCCAGCCCAGGGCAAGTCCCGGACCCTGACTACCTCTGCTGTCTCCGGAAAACCCTCTCCACCTCCCCGCTTGGCCAGAGCGCTTCCTCCGACCGGGCTCAGACCTGTCGATACCCTTGAGCAACTTGCCCACGTTCGCTCTCATCTGCTCAAACATCGCCATGGCTACTGTCACCTCCCACAACCAGGGCTGGAGCCGGAGACAAAACCGGCGAGTAGCCTTCGAGGACCGGAATAGGAAGAGGTGGTGGAAACGGAAATACGTCATTGTTGCCTCTCCAGCCCCTGTTGGCGGTAAAAGGGCAGGATCTTGCGGCAGCTGCCACGCTTTCCGGCTGCCACGTGATTTCGCCCCCACAAGCGCAACTGGCGCGTGCGCATTCGCTCCACCCGAGCTGGACCAACGGCGTGAAAAAAAGCTTAGTCTATCCCAGTGTGCAGGCGCCTTCTTGGGCAACGAGGCGGGGCTGGGCTTTTCCCGGGCCTCGTGTGTCCAGGCTCAGGGTTTGGGGCGTGCGCGCGCGCGAGCGTATAAACTCTCCGAGAAGGAGACGGAGCTGACGGCGTGCGCGCACGTCTCATTGCGCTCGGCCTCAAGCCACAAAAGTGTGTGGGAATGCGTTTAGTAGCCTGCCCTCTGGGCCGTGGCCGAGTCCGAAGAGAGCTTTCTGAGGCCCCACTTGCCTTAGGTCTGTGTTCCTGAAGCAGGATCCTGAGCTTCCTAGTTTCAAGTCCTGGATCTTGGTCCCCACCCTCCATCCCAGGAGTAGGGTCCCACAAAGTTAATGTGTTCTGTTTTGCAGGGGCTGGGATGAGGGGCTCCTGGACCCCGCCGGATGGCGCCCAGTCTCCATTAAGCTCCAGTATTGGGGCTGAGGGCAAGCATCCCATGTGTGCCGCCATGAGTTTTGTGTATAGATTCTGTACAGTGCGGGCTTGAATGCACAGGCACGTGCCATGTTTGTGGAGGTATGTGCTCTGGGTGTATGCACATGTGTACACCCAGATATCCAGGCATGTGCACGTCTACGCGTCTGCACACGACACAGGAGGTAACATAAATGCGTGTATGTGCTGCAGGTGAACAGGCGTGTACACTGCATAGCTATTCTTGTGCAGACCTGCCACCTCTACGTTGTGGCCAAACCTTCAAAAACGCAACAGAGGTTCAACTAGGGGGGAGGGGTGCTAGGGCAACCCTCCCCCCCTTACAATTAATATTTGCATCTCGTTTACATCCAGCCCTGGGCCTTGGGGATGGAGGGGGGTCCCCTGGGTCCCAAGACAAGCTGCCCCTCACAGGCTCTCAGAGCCCAGGGGACAGGGGGTGGAGCCGTTTGCACAGACCTGCAGCTGGGGCAGGAAGTGAGAGTGGGGAGGGAGGAGGCCACAATCCTCGGAGGCAAGGCTGTGCAGGGCTTGTGGGGAAGAGGGAGGTGCCAGCACTTGAGCCCTGAGGCCCTGCTGGCCCCTGGGCGCAGGCCCAGCTCCCGCCCCCAGGGATGGACCTCGCGGACCCCGACATCTTTAATAGGGATCCCCGGGACCACTATGACCTGCTGCAGCGGCTGGGTGGCGGCACCTATGGCGAAGTCTTCAAGGTGAGGAAGCCCCTCTGTCTCCATCACCCTCAAACCAGTGACCTTTGCGTGGAGGCCCAAGAAGGGAAGGGCGTGCAAAAGGGCCCCAGTCCTTAGCCTTGGCTCAGGGATGCTGAGGAGGGACTCGAGCGAATGGAGCCTGACTGACTGCCAACTTCCCCTTTACAAGGCTCGAGACAAGGTGTCCGGGGACCTGGTGGCACTGAAGATGGTGAAGATGGAGCCTGGTGAGGAGAGGACCCAGGAACTCCTTCCCCACACCCCACCCTCACCTCCTGGGTCACTGGGATCGCCTCCCATAGCTCCCTTCCTGCAGCAGCCTTTTCTCTCCTGCCCCTCCTCGCAGATGATGATGTCTCCACCCTTCAGAAGGAAATCCTCATGTTGAAAACTTGCCGGCATGCTAACATCGTGGCCTACCATGGGAGTTATCTCTGGTGACGATCCTTAGACTTGACCTGGAACCCAGCCTAACCCTTAACCCAGAACCCCCATTTCTGACAGAGGCACCTCCTAACTTGATCTCCAATCCTGAACTTCCATTTCTGACCAGGGCACCCTAATCTGACCTCCAGTCCCACACCCCCATTTTTAACTGGGGCACCCCTAACCTGATCCCCAGTCCAAAGTTCCACTTTTCTGACCAGAGCACCACCTAATCTAACCCCCAATCCAGATCTCCCATTTCTGACCAGGGTCCCCCAAATTGATCCCTTCATAGTAACCAAATTTAAAATCAACTCCCCTAAAACTAATCTCTCATCATTCTACCATTTGGGTCTCCCAGTTTCACTCTCTGCACTTTAATAAGAATCTCTAAATTCTCTAACCCCCAAATTAATATCTCAGATGCCTGAATAATGGCCTCAGTTCCCCAGACCTGGCACCCTGGCCCCTTTGTCTCCTCCAAACCTCAGCAACCTGTGAGATCTCTGCCCTATCTCCTCGGTTAGCATGGGACAACAGAGAGGTATCCTGGGTTTGGAGCCCAAAGACCTAGGTTTGAGTTGAGTTGCCCCTGAATACACATTTCCTGTCTGAGCTTCAACTTCCTCATCTGTAAAATGGGAATGTAACAGTCTCACTCTGGTGGGCAAGGGTAGATAGAGATGACAGCTGTTACACTGAAGTTCTAATTGAGCTAGAATAAGAGTGAACCAGGGGCTCTCCTATAAATAATAACTTATTACTGCTATTGTTATTATTATTATTGCTGTTATTCTTGATCCCTTGTAGGTTGCAGAAGCTCTGGATCTGCATGGAATTCTGTGGGGCTGGTTCTCTCCAGGACATCTACCAAGGTTAGAGAAAAGACAACGAGATCCAGGCACACCCAGCCCCTCAAATCCACCTATCCCATGTCTATGTTTTTTCTCCTGGGAACTGTCTTTCTGGTCCGTATTTCACACAACAAGCTCCTCCTCTGGGCCTGGGGCTGGCCTGGACAATGCTGGGGATACTGTGGTGACAGAGTAAGTCCTGGACCCTGCCATGCAGCACCTATCAGTCCAGCCTCAGTCCCTCTGCAGGCAAGGATCCCTGACCTCCCATTCCCTTTTTTTGTCTCAATGTTTGCATTTTTTTTTTGCCAAGGCCTATTCTGTTTGAGTATTTCTGCATTTTCTGGCTCATAGTAGGTGCCCAGATTTTCATCAAATGAATGATTTGTTTCTCCTCGGCCTGCCTTTTACTCTCTTGGAGAATTTGAGGGTTGGGGGTGGCGTGGGCCTCTAATCACCTCTCTGAGTTTCTGCTGCCCACTTCTGTCTTCAGCAATCTGCCTAACTTCCTCCAGCCCAAGACCAAAAATGTTAGAAAAGGAAGGACTTCATTAAGAAGTCCTCGGGGGGAAACTGAGGCCCACAGAGGGGAAGCGACTCACACAGCCAGTCTGTCAGACCTGGTCTCTGCCCAGTTCTGTCTGTCTGTCTCTCTCTCTTGTTTCCTCTCCACCCCTCCGTGTCTCTTTCTAGTACTGAATGTCTGTCTTCCCGCATTTGGTCTCTGCCCACCTCTTTCTTTGTCTTTGTCTCAGTGTGGATCTGTCCCCATTTCTCTGTCTCTTTGTCTCTCTGCCTTTCCTCATTTTGCAAAGTCACATTGCTCCCCTGTTCAGAGCCCTCCCACAGCTCCCATTTCCCTCGGAAGAGAAGCCCAAACCCCTCATCATGGCTCACACCAAGCCCACCTGCCTCACTTCCTACCACTTTCCTCTGCCCCCACTTGGCTCCACACTTTGCTGCTTTCCAAACCCACAAGGCCCTCTTCCCCTGTAACCCCTGCACTCCCTGTTCGCGTTCCCCTCACAGGGGGACCGACCTCTCACCTCTTCAACTGTCACCTTCTCAGAGGAGCCTTTGCTGACCACCTTGTGTAAAATATTACCCTTCCCACACGTATTTTCTGTTGTCCTTTCTTGCTTTTTCTTCCTACCACTTATTAGCATCTCATGTACTGTACTCATATATTTCACTTATTTATTGTGTTTCCTGTCTGTCTTCCACTGGAACGTTCTCTCCATGCGAGCAGGGATATCTGTCTCTTTTGTTTGCATCTGGATCCCCAGTGCCTGGTGCCTTGTGCTCAGTAGACACACAATAAATATCTGCTGAGTGACCCCCTCCTTCCATCCTCTCTGTCATCAACTGCCCCGCTCTCTCCTACTCCCGCTTGTCCCATCCTGTCTTCCCCTCCTTTGTGGCATTCTCTCAGCTGGTAGGGGTGGGGGGCAGGACTCCTGGGCCCAGGTTTCCTGGCTCCCATCCAATGCCAAGCTGGGGTGACCTTTGCAGTGACAGGCTCCTTGTCAGAGCTCCAGATCAGCTATGTCTGCCGGGAAGTGCTCCAGGTGAAGAGAGGCCTGGGGGGTGCGGGGTGGGGGGGGAGTGGAGGGGAGGGACTAGAGGAGGGAAGGGCCCTGCTCCCACCCCCAGGCACTCACAGCCCTCTTGTCCACCCTTCTCCCCAGGGACTGGCCTATTTGCACTCACAGAAGAAGATACACCGAGACATCAAGGTGGTCTGGGGCAGAAGGGTGCCCTTGTATGTCGTGTTTACACAGGTTAGCTCTATCCAGCAAAAACAGGAATGAATTCCATCCAAATGCATGAATTCCAGGAGGCAAGAATCACTTGGGGCATGGGGGGTAGGATGGGGGGCATCTGAAGGCTGCCTGGCACAATACTTCTAAAATATCTATGTTTGTTATTCCTGAGAAAGGAGAATTTAAGCTCTATTTTCATTTTTCTTGAGATTATTGGTCTATTTATATTTACTCCTTCTTGATCTCATTTCAGTTATCTATTTTACTAGAAACATATTTATTTAAACTAGATTTTCAAATATGCTGTGATAAGGTTGTAGGGGTAGATCTTAATGTGGGCAAAGAGGATCCAGCAATAGGCTACTCTGTTATATAGCAAAAGTGCAATTCAAATATGAAGAAATGGGATTAGAACCAGGAAATGGAGATAGGAGCATTTATTAATCCGAAAGAATAAAAAATGACCCAAGATACTAAACAAGGCACTAGATGTTACTGAGACCAGAGGTCAGAATGACTAGATGCTCAAAATGTTCAACACCACTCTAGGAATTCTCTAAGCCCCCCTGACCTGGAGCAGGATTATTTCTAAAGTACAATAAGTTGCTATATATCTCCCTCTGCCTTTAGCTGACTTTGGTATCTCGGCCCAGATTGGGGCGACACTGGCCAGACGCCTCTCTTTCATTGGGACCCCATACTGGTGAGGGCTGCCTGGTGGGCAGCTGGGATGGAGTGGGGGGCAGTGCCTTTTCCCACTCCCGTTCTCTGGAGTCTCCTTCCTGCCTCCATTCTCCTGCCTCCGCCTTTCTCTATTGAAGATGCTTTTGTTCTCTTTGGTTCTCTCTTGAGTTTTCCATTTATCTCTGTCTCTCTGTGCCCCTTTCTGCCTGTTTCTCTGTTTGTGTTGATTTCTATCTTGATCCATCGCTCCGTATTTATTTCTCTTTTCCCTCCGTTCCAGTCTGTGGCTCTCTCTGTTTCTTTGTGTCTGTCTGTCTCACTCTCTGTCTCTATCTCTTTATCTCGCTCCGTCTGTATCTTCTAGGCTGTCCCTGTCTCTGTGTTTATCTCTCTGTGTCTGTCTTTATTTCCGTCTCTCTCTCCATCTTTACGTTTCTGTCTCCATCTGGCCCTCTCTCTGCCTCATCTCCCCTCGCCGCATTCTCCTTCACTCCCCCTCTCATCCTCCCCCTCCCTGTGCCACCCCTGGCTCTCTGAGGGTCTCTGCCCCCAGGATGGCCCCAGAAGTGGCAGCTGTGGCCCTGAAAGGGGGATATAATGAGCTGTGTGACATCTGGTCCCTGGGCATCACAGCCATCGAACTAGCTGAGCTACAGCCACCACTCTTCGATGTGCACCCTCTCAGGTAGGCTGGGCCCAGAGCCCCTGCCCAGCTCTGACTCCGAAGACCACCCCTCAGCCTGCTTCCCCACCTCCCCCGACAGGAGACCCCAAGGGTTCCCCCAGTGCAGGAAACCTTTTCTTCAGCCTTCCACACCAGGAACCCCAACTCAGGGGTCCCCTCTGCATGTGCCATAGCTCTGTGGTGGGATGAGCGGCTTCCCTTGGTAGTGGCGTCCTCGTGCCTTGTCACCCTGAGCCTCATTCTCATTCTGTCCCTCTCTTTGCTCTCCGCTGACCTTAATGGTCTGGCTCCCTTAGGGGGTTTGAGCCCCATGTTCTCTCCATATCTTCCAGAGTTCTCTTCCTCATGACCAAGAGTGGCTACCAGCCTCCCCGGCTAAAGGAAAAGGGCAAATGGTAAGAGAGGGTGACAGGAGGGAGGGAGAGCGAGGGCAGAGCCAGGCTGCACGGTCCGATGGGAAGATCTCTGGTGCCCTCACCCCAGAACATGGCTTCTTCCTCCCCAGGTCGGCTGCCTTCCACAACTTTGTCAAAGTCACCCTTACTAAGAGCCCCAAGAAACGACCCAGCGCCACCAAGATGCTCAGTGTAAGCCACCCCTCCCCAGTTTTCTCACCCTATAGAGTTCCCAGGGCCTCCCTAGAACACTCCATGACTCCCTAGAACACTCCACGACTCCCTAGAACATTCCACAACTCCCTAGAACACTCCACAACTCCCTAGAACATTGGTAATTTAGTTCCACAAGACCCCAGTGGCTCTTTCAAAGTCCCTAGTCCCTCAGAATTTCCCAGGACTTCCCCCAAGACCCTCCAAATCATACCTCAGCCCTTTCCAAGATCCCTTGAGTTGCTAGAACTCACAAATTCCCAAGGGCCTGAAGACTTGTTCCTGAGAGTCCTCTTGAATTCCAAGGGAATCCTGGTCCCCTCTAAGACACCTCTGGAATTCTCCAAGCCCCCTCTAAGAACTCTAAATCCTTCTAGTGCCTTGAGGCTTCTCAGAATTCCCTAGGTCTCGGAGTCCCTCGATTTCCCTGCCTTCTCCCTCCATTGGCACCTTCCTCCACTGTATTCCCTTAGACAAGTTCTCAGACCCCATCCCAGTCCTCTCCCACCACACCTGCCCTCTGTCTGCTGACACTCTCTTCCCCTCCCCCAGCATCAGCTGGTGTCCCAGCCTGGGCTGAATAGAGGCCTGATCCTAGATCTTCTTGACAAACTGAGGAATCCCGGGAAGGGACCCCCTGTTGGGGAGATTGAAGACGAGGACCCTGAGGTGAGGGCCTTGGCTGAGGAGAACACTGGGACACCCCCGTCCCCTCAGCCTTTGCTCAGGCCATGCCCCTGTTGGGAGCACCTTCCCGCTGCCTCTCTTAGCAGCAAATGAGGCGGGAGGATGGGGAGCTTGGTAGGGCTGGGCGCCCAGAGGGTTATGGGAGAGAGGACGGCTCAAGGCTGGGCCCACAGACTGGTGGGCACTGCTTGGGGTCTGCTGTCCTTGACGCGGCTGCCCCTCTGCCCAGCTACCCCCTGCCATCCCACGGAGGATAAGATCCACCCACCGGTCCAGTTCTCTGGGGATCCCAGATGCAGATTGCTGTCGTGAGTAGAGAATCCCTAAGTTTGGGGACACCTAACCCTATAATAGATCCAAAAGACCCCCCTTCTCCCACTATCAGACTGCCAGAGTCCCTCATCAGCATCTGATCCCATAAGAGACCCCAGAGAACCTCATCACCACCTGACCTGTAAAATGACCATAGAGACCCCCACCTCTCTGAACTGCAAACAGACCCCGTGAGACCACCCATCACCACCCTGACCCCAAAAGAAACCTCACAAATCTCTATCAGAACCTCTGATACCCAAATGGATCCTAAAAACACTCTATAACTATTTTGAGCCCCCACCTCCCTGATTCAAACCTTGAGCCCGAAGGAGACCCTTGCAACCAAGATTCCTCCCCCTAAGGGACAGTTCCAATCTCTAAGATCCTGACTCCAAACTCCCAAAATTCTACTCTTTCCACTCCCAAATCCTTCTCACTACCCCCTGCCCCCAGCTCACTATGGGTTCTCTCCCCACTTCCCCACCTCCCAGGGCGGCACATGGAGTTCAGGAAGCTCAGAGGAATGAAGACCAAACCGTCAGCCGACACTGTGAGCCGCCTTCCTCCGCGCTCCCGGCCGCCCTCCCCTTCCCCTTGGCCACTGCTTACCCTTTTCCTATCCTGCAGGCTCACTTACAGCCGCCTACAGACTTCAGGAGCAGCAGTCCCAGGTCAGGGACCCCCAGGTGGGGAGGCAGGGGGAGGCTGGGGCGTGTGGGGGAGCCGCCTGAGGCTCATGCCTGTCACTCTTCAGCAGGCACCTGTCAGAGTCCGATGATGACTATGACGACGTGGACATGTAAGAGAGGCCTGGCCCCCAGCTCCACAGGCCCTCACCTCAGCCCCCAACTGCCTATAAATCCTGGACTTGACCGTACCTCCACCCCTGACCCCAGCCTCACCCTCGACCTTCCTTCCACCTTCTTACACAACTCTTGACCTGCCTCCCAACATCAAATCTTTCCCCACTATCCTCAGCCCTGACCCTCAGCCCTGGACCCTCAGTCTCAAACTCCTCCCAGATGTTGCCGCAACCCCCAGACCTCAACTTCAGCCCTAACCCTCAACCCCAGGCCCTTGTCTTTTTTCATCTTCTCGCCCAACCTCAGACTGAACCTTGGCCCCTAGAAATTTCCAAAAGGCCAGACCCTGAGCTCCAGACCCAAACCTCAACCCCAGCAGTCAGCCCAGGCCCCCATCTTCCCCCAGCCCCCAGGCCCAGTGTCAGCCTCGGGCTCACTCATTCATTCCATGCATCTCGTATATAATAGGCTCATATGTGGTGCCAGGCGCAAAGTGAGAACCTGAGCCTCGGGAGTTGGTATTGTCTGTGTCACTGGGTGGTTGTGAAGGTTCAGAGATTTGATGCATTGTCAGCACTCTATACCCAAGAGCTGCTGTTACTGTTATCATCATGGTTATTAGTCCTTTAATCCTCAGCTCCAGCCAGACTGAGTCACCCCCTTACCCTCTTGACCTCAGGCTCCAATCCCAGACCCTCAGCCCGACCCACCCCATCTTCCTCCAGTTCTTGTTCCGCAGTCCCCACCTGCTTACCCCATCTTTGTGTTTCAGCCCCACCCCTGCAGAGGACACGCCTCCTCCACTGCCCCCCAAGGTAAGGCCCTGGGCCAGAGCTGGGAGGCTGGAGGCCAGGTCTTTAGATGCAGGGATACTGGGCTCTCTAGGGCTGGGAGTCTGGGAGTCTGGGATGATGGGTGCATTGGGATCTGGATGTGGCATCCCTCAACCTTGGGGTGGAATTCAAAATATTTAGCTTTATGGACATGGCTCAGTAGCTGGTCTTAGGAACCCCTGCTGCAACCAACATTAACTCTTTGGTTTCTGGAGTGTGCTGATGTCCAGGGTGTTGGGGGTGTCAGAGGGAAGGCTGGAATGATGGTAGGACATTGTGGGGAGGGTCATAGCCATGGCTAACTGTCAGTTCGGTGGAGGCAGGGATTGGGGTGCAGGGTGCCCTCTCTCTCACATCATCTGATGTATCTCCCCATGCTCCCTCCCTGTCTCCAAAGCCCAAGTTCCGTTCTCCATCGGATGAGGGTCTTGGGGGGACAGGGGATGAAGGGCAGCTGAGCCCAGGGGTGCTGGTCCGGTGTGCCAGTGGGCCTCCCCCACGCACCCCCCGTCTTGGGCCTCCCCCAGCCACTGACAGCCCTCACCTTACCGCCCATTCAGGTAATAGGACAGGCCGGGGTGGAGGGTGGGCAGGGGTGGGAGCCTTGGGAGCTGATTTTTCCCCAACCCCTCTCAGAACCCTCACTCTGGAACCCACCCTCCCGGAAGCCTGACCAACCCCCACTGCTGCCCCCCAAGAAAGAAAAGATGAAGAGAAAGGTGACTGCCAGCTATGCTGATGCTTGCACCTCTGGATGGGGCTGGGGATTCCTAGTGGGAGCGGGGACAGTGTTGGGAAGACTAATAATAATAATAGGTAACATTTGTCGGGCACTTCCTCTGTGCCAGACTGTGATCCATGTCTTTACATGGCATAAGCCTTCACAGATAGAAGTAGATGTCATAGAGGTAGATATGATCCCCCATTTCACAGGTGGGGAAATGGGCATAGAGGAGGCAGAGGCAGGATGTGAACCCTGGTACCCTTGCTCCAAAGTCTTAACCACTGCACCTTCCTGTCCCCTGCTTCCTTTTGCTATGCCTGCTGCTTGGCCCCACCATGGCTTGCCCAGGGATGTGCCCTTCTCGTAAAGTTGTTCAATGGCTGCCCCCTCCGGATCCACAGCACAGCCGCCTGGACACACCCCTCCACCAAGGGTGGGCATTCAGGAGGGTCAAGGAAAGCATGGGGTGGGGGATGGGGGAGCAAAGGAAGGGAAGGGGAGGAGCCTGAATGGAAGGCACAGAGGCAGGGACGGGGGAGGGTCTTAATGGGGTCTGGGAGTGGCCGAGCTGAAACGGGCAGATCCTGTGATTACAGTTGGGATTTGGGGATCAAAGATGGGTAGAGGGAAGATGAGTTGGAGAGTGAAAACTAGGAAAAGTAGAGTTTGGGGGCCAGGATGTCAGAATACAACAGAAGGTTAGAGTTTGGGGTACAAGATGGGTGGACAGAAGGTCAGCTGGAGCATAATAGTAGACTGGAATCAGTGTTTTGGGGTCAGAAGTTTTACAGATCAGAATGCAGCAGAAAAGACAGAGTTTGGGGATCAAAGATGCAGAGACAAGGTCAGTGAGAGGGTCAATGTTAAAGAAACAGCCTCAGAGTTCAGTGGGGTCACACTGGACAGAAAAAGTCATATTTAGGGGTGTCTGAGTTTGAGGATCATTGTTAAGACAGGATTAGCATTTGGGGATTAGAACTGGGGAGAAAGAGAGAGGAATTTAGAGGGCTATTTTGGGAGGCAGGTCTAAGGTTGGAGTCAGAATTGAGGAGGTAGAGGGTGAGGATTTGTGGGTCAGAGCGGGAAGAACCACCAGAATGTGGGAAGTCAGAGGTAGGGGAGAATGAGGCTGACTTAAGGGACTGGTCAGGGTTTGAGTTTAGATTTGGGGAAACAGGCTGGGAATGTCGGGGTGAGAATAAGAGAAGAGAGGGTCAGAGCTTGGGGCCGGAGTGCCCGGGAAGAACCACCAGAATGTGGGAAGTCAGAGGTAGGGGAGAATGAGGCTGACTTAAGGGACTGGTCAGGGTTTGAGTTTAGATTTGGGGAAATAGGCTGGGAATGTCGGGGTGAGAATAAGAGAAGAGAGGGTCAGAGCTTGGGGCCGGAGTGCCAGTGTTTGGGGTGAGACAGGTGGGGATCTGGGAAGTCCCCCAGGATGAGGTGGGTTCCAGTGTTCTCATCATCTGTCCCCCCAGACCAGTACCTGCTCCTGGGGGCAGAGGAAGGCATTTTCATCTTGAACCGGAATGATCAGGAGGCCACGCTGGAGATGGTGAGGGACAGTGCCTAGGGTGGAGCAAGGGCAAGGGCAGGGGCAGGAGCTGGGGGCGGCTGGGTGTTACAGGAGACCTCTCCCCCATTCTCTGCAGCTCTTTCCTAGCCGGACTACCTGGGTGTACTCCATCAACAACGTCCTCATGTCTCTCTCAGGTCTGGCTGTCGGGAGGGGTGGGGGTCTAAGTTAAGGGGTCAAGGGTCAGGAAATTGGTTAAGTAACTTGCCTGGGTATAGCTGAAAAAAATTTAGGCTCTCCCATTTGAGCCCTAGGTTCAAATCCCAGCTACTTTTTTCATTGTGGGACTTAGGACAAGGGACTTATCTTCCCTGAGCCTAAGTGACTCCATCTGTAAAATGGGGCTCACAATAATCCCCACCTCTCAAGTCAGTTTTGAGATAATTACTGCAATATATTAGTCCTTAAATAGCTTTGATGTTCAGATGACAATTAGAACTTATTCCACACTTTACTAAGATAGAGTGAGCAAGTTATAGATTTAAAAATCTGTCATTATTTTATCAACGTTTTGCATAACAGGATTCCTAACTTTGGGGGAAACAGCCAATAAAAAAACTACAGATGGATTTCTGGATATGTTTCTTTTAAAAAATTTTTTTGGCAGCTGGCCGGTTTGGGGACCTGAACCCTTGGCCTTGGTGTTATAACACCATGCCCTAACCAATTGAGATAACCTACCAGCCCTAGATATGTTTCTTTTTAAACTTTGTAATATGTGTAACTTCATCTGACTGAAGTGTCTGTAGTTTTTCTATGTGGCTATAAGCACCATGGGGGTAGGGAACATATTTATTTTGCTTACCACTGTTCACCAGAGCCAAGCACAGTGCATGGACTACAGTGGGCCTTTAAAGTATGTTGAGTGAGATGCCTGGGGAATTCTAAAATAACAATAATAATAATAATAAAATAAAATAAATATCTTGAGTGAGAAATGAATGAATGGAGGTACTTGAGACTTGCAGGCTTGGGAGTTTCAGATAAAGGAATGGGGGGAAAGGAGTTGGTATCTGGGGTCCTATAACTGCCTACTTCCCCCCACATACACACACACTGCAGGAAAGACACCCCACCTGTATTCTCATAGCATCCTGGGCCTGCTGGAACGGAAAGAGACCAGAGCAGGAAGCCCCATCGCTCACATTAGCCCCCACCGGCTATTGGGAAGGTACCAGCCCCTAGTGGTACCCAACAAACCCCTATAATCTCCCCTCCCCCTACTGCCATCCCACCACCCATTCACACCTACCCTTTCTTCAGGAAGAACATGGTCTCCACCAAGATCCAGGACACCAAAGGCTGCCGGGCTTGTTGTGTGGGTGAGAATCCCATGGGTGTGTAGAGGAAATGGGCCTGGGCCTGGACCAGGGGCGGGGCTTGGTCTGCACCTACCCCAGAAGGTTGCAGAGTTAAGGCAGCGTGTCCAGAGCCCCGGGAAAGATGCGTGGTAGTCTGGGTCTTGTGGGGATGGGGAAGGAGGAAAGAGAGGATTGATACTAACCCATCCTTGCTCATCCCCGCAGCCGAGGGTGGAGACTCCGGCGGCCCGTTTCTGTGTGGCGCATTGGAGACGTCCGTGGTCCTGCTTCAGTGGTACCAGCCCATGAATAAGTTCCTGCTCATCCGGGTAAGGGACCTGGGGTAGGGAGTGCTGGAAACTCTGGGGAATGAGAGGTGGCTAGGGTCTTCCACCCTCTGCGCTTCTGTTGAGAGCTCCGAGAAGCCCCGCCTCCACTGAGGCCCCGCCCCAGTCCTCCAAGGGCCCCGCCCACCTGAGATCTGAGTTGGAGGCTCGCCCTTCGGAGACCTTCCTGAGCTTTAAGCTCCGCCCCTCACAACGGGGCCTCAGTGCTCCTCATGCCCTATGCCCCGCCCCCCAGGTTAGGACCTGTCCCGTTGAGTCTCTAAGGAGGTTTCGCTGCATGGGGTCCCTCCCTTTATCACCAAGGTGGCACGCCCCCAAACGAAAGCCGCACTCACTCTGAGGCGACACGGCTGTTTCAAAGAAGGTGTAACCTAAGCCCTCTGAGGCCTGAACTTCTGAAATATGTAGATGGCACCTCTCAAGACTGAGAGCCTAGGAAATGCTTCGGGGTCCAGGCCTGCTCCAAGGCCACGCCCCTCCCAGGCCCCGCCCTGAGCCTTCACTGAGCCCCGCCCCTCCCTGTGCGGCCCACAGCAGGTGCTGTTCCCACTACCAACGCCTCTGCCAGTGTTCGCGCTGCTGACCGGGCCAGGTTCTGAGCTGCCCGCCGTGTGCATCGGCGTGAGCCCCGGGCGGCCGGCGAGCTCGGTGCTCTTCCACACCGTGCGCTTCGGCGCGCTGTCCTGCTGGCTGGGCGAGATGAGCACCGGTGAGTGGGGTAGAGGCTCGCGGGGGCGGGGCTGCTGGGAGGGGTGGGGCTTATTAGCCCTGGAGGGGTGGGTCCAGGTGGCTGGGCGGTGCTTAGCCTGAGGCAATACTGAGAGAGGGTGGAACCGGCAGGGCGGTGGATGGGGGGAATGGCAGGGCTTATTTCATTG